TAAACCCAGAAGGGTTTCCGTCGGTAAACACTCTTTCTACGCACGATGTCTCACCGATTTTTGTTTCCTATACATTTCGGTTTGGTGATTTCACGGAACTTTAGTTACGACTATAACTATTATCATTATTACTGTGAATTGTTGTATTCAAAGTGTAGTTGGTTCGATTGAGTCAACATATACATGTTTATAGTATAATCCGTAACTGAAATTAGTCTCAACAACAAAGACATTTTCAATCAACTGTATGTTTATTCATGTCTTGTCTTACTTCAGTTGTTATTTACAAAAGATTAGATAAATTGTATTGATTGAATAAAGGTGAGAAAATCTCTTGAAAACTCATGATTACCGTACCTTTTAGTTCAGTTACTTTGTTTTATATTGAATTTGATTGAGTATCCATTCTCATGACTGCACAAACAAATTACATACTTAAAATAATATCATAGAGTCAGTGTATATGAACCATATTCTATTGTTCAACGGAAATATTTGAAGTGAGATTGTTATTGTTATTATTAATTTATTGTGAAATTTTCACTAATAAGGCCATCCGTTTTGTTTTGATAAACTTATTTGTTATAAACTTATACAGTGACTATAAATTAGTTTATTGAGCTTTAACAGTGAGTGATTATGTTTTAAAAATACAATCAAGTTGAATAATACTGATACTATTGAACACTACATAGAATGTCATTTATAATGAATTGTAAAACAACTTACAACATCTCACACGAAATCTAACAGTTTGAGAAAACATTAAAATCTTCTTTTTAGTGCACACCACACTACAGATCGACATTTTTCCATTTATCACCAGTTCATATTCATCCACTAAAATTTCAAAAGAGAATTCTTGGCAAAATAAAATTATTATATTTCTCAATATGAAAATATTTCTGGTATGTTTTAGTGAGTGAAGAATATTTTACAACTTGTTTTACACTTTTTTGCATAGGTCATCTAAGAGTGCATGAAAACATCTACATAGATTACAATATTTCTAATGTGATGAATTTGATAACATTTTTCACAGTAATCATAAGTATAGGCTTTATGAAGTACATCGCTTTCAGGCTATGTATTTAAAAGAATGATTCACTCGATTTTGAACAAAGAACATTGAGGACAACTTTGTGCTATTTGGTTATCACACATTGATAACAATCTGACACGTCATAGGTGAAAAGAAATGGATGTTAATTTGAAGTGTGGGATTTGATTTGATGTGGTTTGTGTTGTCCTGTTGTTGAAGTTGAGTATTAATGTGGATTAATCTCTTTCACCACATGTTCATTCTGACCAGATTGTGGTGTATCTGATGGATATGCTTTGTTGATAATTCTTTCAATCTTGAACTTACTATCAATGGTGGTGTTTTATCTAAGGTACATACAAAAGTGGACTCATGTATTCCTATGATTTTTCTTACACAGAACAGGTGTTGAAACAGACCTTCATGTCTCAAGGTTTTCCGAGTCACATAAATCGTATAAGCGAATCATGTATTTTAATGTGCATAGTACGTATTCAACCAGTTCTAGAACACTGCACGCTTATTCTTGGTAGTGCTCGAATATAGGCTTAATGAATTCCGGGATCCGTTCACAGGTTATTGACACTTCACATAAATGAAAGTGATTGTACCTCTGCTCGTAATTCCAGATGTAATATACTCGACCTCGATCCTTCATGAAAGACGAGATTCAGACTACATATCGTCTCGAGCTTCAAAACATCTAATAAATTACCTTTTGCATCCAATCAAACAATTCAGTATGTCGAAACGCCTGGGTACAAAATCGTCAAACTCTTAGTTATTGGTGAATCATTCGCATTCAGAGAATGAAACTCGGCTTGATTGAATTAGGACACTGAACTACTTATTAATGAAGTGACCTATATTAAGTTATGAAACGTCACAAGTTCAGTTTACCACTCTATAGGACATTACAAATACATTACCTTATAGTTCAATTTTAAGCGAAATAAAATCAAAGTACATTAAGCATCATGCATCACTGACGCTATGGTAGAAAATGTGAACCATAAAAAAATAAAACATTGATTGTTTAGTTCTGACAAATGTACCGCGATCGCACAATGGTGTTCATTTTGATCAGTAACTTCCAATGAATCAGTTCAGTAACTTCCAAGATGCTTCAAATTCATCCAGTGTTGCCTCCAGCAGACAAATGCTAACATGACACGACTGTCGTATATTCCGACTCGACTATTTTCAAATTTATCATCGTCAGTATAGGAATATTAGGTGAAAATATCAGTGTACCATGTATAATTAAACCACTCTCAGTACAAAACCGAAATGCGTATGGCTGACTACTGGTTAGTTTAGCAAATGCCAGCCAGCTAACTAATTTTGTAAGCTCTTATTATTGACGAAATTAGACCATTTTAATCGTTAATTAATGTACATCCTTCAAATAAATTCAAACTGTTGAATATTCAACTATTGACCGAAACTGCAATGATTTGCCAGAATACATTAAGAATAAGTTAGAGAAGGTAGCGATAATGAAATTTTTTTCACATTTAAAATACTTTAGAACAAAATTACTTAGTAAATGTATCTAATTTATTTACAATGGATGCGTGTACTAAACAAATATCTTAGTTTCAATATAGTAGAGATGGAAGAGTTTGTTTATTATTTTGTTCTCATGGTGAATTAGTTTAAACACTTGGCAAAAAAGAAATAATACTGAGACATCAGTGAGTTCATTTATAGATTAAATATAAAATACTTTGCTGACTAAACTCTAAGAATACTAATACGGAAACTGAATAATAGAATGATTATTATGAGTAGGATTCAGTTTCGAGTCAAGACAAACGACAGATTAGCAACCATGTTGCAGTTAGGTGGTGGTAAGGCCGTAATTGCATTCGTTTGAAATGAAGAACAAAATACAAGAACGAGGTGCTATGTAGTTGATTGATGAGCATCTACACAATAGACAAGAGTTTCAGCACACGAATTCTAATGACAATTATCTACACAGAAAAATACAACACACCTTCCACAAATATTGAACTTTGTCGAATTAAGACTAATATGGTTTATGTGATTATCTCATGATAATGGGTTTGATTCATGCTAACAGTTGAATATGTTCCAAACGTTTCTATGATGAATTAGTCATCTCAGTTATTCATATCTATTTAGGAGGTCAAATACTTCTACAATTCTAAAACGTACCTATTGATGCATTATTGATAATTTGTTCCTCCAATGAATTTCATTTTGCTCACATAAACCGTTGACGTACAAATGGATACGTTGCAACAAATAACATGGATTTTCCACTATTGATTTATCTAACACATGTGAGAAGATAATATAGAACATTGTGCTATTTCGATGAGCTGAATTACATGCGTTCATGCGTTTCCGATTTGCGTGAGGAAATCGAGTGTCTGTAATTGGCAGTTCTAACGAAACTAGAAATGATTGAATGAATTGAAATATGAAACTCAACAATCTCTCTCAATTATTAAGATAATCCTTCTTCTTTTGTCTTCACAACATAAACCTGAATTGCGAACATTTGTTTAGGAATTTAGTAGTAATGGTTTTCAGAGATAAATTAAATCAAAGTGAACTGTACAACGGTCCTAGTGTGGTATGAGTTGTACATTGAGTTGTTATGGCCATCAGTACCTATGATCCAATTCACCTCGACACAAACTATTTATACATCATATTTGATAAGATTACAATGGGATTGTGAACATGTTTGTAGTCTTGAACTGTTCACCTCCAATTGAAAAAAGTGAGAACTAGACTAGTCGACCATTCTCTTTCTTACATGATCTTCATGCATACGTATAGAGAGGATAGGCAATAAGTATTTTGGTGAATATATTGATCTACAATCAGACATAATGTGCAGCTGAATTGACTAGGATAATATGGGAAGAATGCATATGTAGGCATCTCATTCATCTTTGGGAACAGTTCGAGATGAATCGTTGCCTGATGGTATGTCTGTTAACAATTGATAATATGATACACAGTTTCATGGATCATAAGATGCATACATTTTGAATGTGATCTATTCACGTAATCGAGAAACTATACCAACTTAATCTATCTTCAGTGGTTAAATAAACATACTGCAGTTTATAAACTGAAAGTTCTATTAGATATATATGAATATACTTCAAATGTCTGTGATAGCTTCATATAGTGAAACGATAAGTAGTTCAGGTTATCTGAAATATTTGGGCATTGATTCCAATAGGTTGGTTAGTGCTAGATAATTGCATAGAAGTTCCACAATCACAGAATATGTGCATTGTATACATCAATTCTGAAGGTGCGTCAATGATGATCCAACCTATCAATTCATAATTGTCATTGAAATATTCTCCATGTTATGATTTAACGACTCACACTCATGATCCTCTTCTACAGTAGCTGTCCACTAAATACGATTCGAAAATTACCTAATATTACATATCAACTATCTGTTTCGATAATTGTTTCCTACTAAATATATTCACTAGCAACGAGAAACGACAACTATATTACCCATCCTGAAACACACCTATATGACGAGATATAAAGAGAAAACACTCTCGGTCTTCTGCACGAATAACTGTTTATTTCAATTGTTTACTAATAATGAAGATGTTTCATTTTCGATTTTGAAACACCACCACAGATAAAATTACCACACACAAGAGCACACACTGACAATAATATGATAGTGGATCAACCAGTACAAAAGACAATGTGGAAACACAATCTCAGTTATACTAATATTTATTCTGTTCTGTTTTGTGCTCTTCATTCAAACTGTATATTATTCTGTGTTGGTTCTTATGAAGATGAATTCGGGAATTGATGAGTAATACAGAAGATCGTGTTTGTGAAGATGATTGAGTTGAGTTGCGTGCAGAATGATCAGATGTTTTTTACAATGTTTGATTTAGTTTCTGTTGATATTTCTTTTGAATTTTCGGTTTCCTCCAAATTAACCGGATTTGAATAGAAGAATTGCAACATTGCCCATATAAAAGTAGATGAAATGTTTCGTTTCATGCGTCACATAACTGTAAACAATGAGGGAAATAACACACCAGTTAGCAATACATTAACAAATTTCCTAAAAGCGAAGTTACGTAATTCCTTATACACCGTTACAAACTCCACATTATAACGTCAAATTATTTCTGTCTTGGCATAAACAGTGAGTGAATAACATTGATTACATATTAATAATGAATAAATATTTATGTCGAGTTACAAAATATCACTAACCTTCCGAAATTTCTCCCAACAATACAATGCCATGTAGGATTGTATTTCCTGTCAAATTCTTTCTTAATGAATGCTGCTATATCTTTTTCCACACTATATTTCTCTAAAGCTTGTGCAGCACAATCAACAGCCTCTTGTTGCATATCATCTGACATATCGGCATTTTTCACTACTGCTTTATGTTCAGACATCATTATTCTCTAAAGATTTCTAATATGTATGCGAATGAATTGAGTAGCCGTTTACTACCTTGTATTAATTTCTAATTCCAAAACAGACACTATTTATATCAACAAGAGTGTCATACTTTTGACCTTATTATAAATGCAATGAAGTAAGAAAATGAGAGTTTAGTAGCTTGGCTTCAGATATAAAATATGTGTGTAGGTATATATATAAGTAGTGGCACAGATTCTAATTGGCTCATGCATAATCTTGACGTGCATGACTTATCACTCTGTTTTAAATCACCGTCATTACAACTACAACAATATCAATGATGAGAATAATGGCAATGAAAGAAAGTTACAAATCTGTATCCAATACCCCTTCCTTATTAAAATAGTAGCGTATACTTTCCTGACTATTTTAACAATAGTGTTTGAAGTGACTCAACATAATAGGAAGTAATTGTTCACGATTAATGGTGAATTTCGTTCAAATTAAATAGATCTAGACAAACTATTTTATTAAGTAGTGATCATAGCTAACTGAGAGAAGTTCTTGCGAGAGAGTGTGACTAGTGGAGTTTAATCAAAATGGGAGTATTGTAATCGACATTTGTGGAATTTAACATTCCATCAAATCCTTCTTTTTTATGTTTCACTAATCCTATTGCTCAACGACACTTTCGCATTCTCAATAGTTATTTAATTTAGAACTATAAACATCTTCCTCATCTATCTATCTATCTATCTATCTATCTATCTATCTATCTATCTATCTATCTATCTATCTATCTATCTATCTATCTATCTATCTATCTATCTATCTATCTATCTATCTATCTATCTATCTATCTATCTATCTATCTATCTATCTATCTATCTATCTATCTATCTATCTATCTATCTATCTATCTATCTATCTATCTATCTATCTATCTATCTATCTATCTATCTATCTATCTATCTATCTATCTATCTATCTATCTATCTATCTATCTATCTATCTATCTATCTATCTATCTATCTATCTATCTATCTATCTATCTATCTATCTATCTATCTATCTATCTATCTATCTATCTATCTATCTATCTATCTATCTATCTATCTATCTATCTATCTATCTATCTATCTATCTATCTATCTATCTATCTATCTATCTATCTATCTATCTATCTATCTATCTATCTATCTATCTATCTATCTATCTATCTATCTATCTATCTATCTATCTATCTATCTATCTATCTATCTATCTATCTATCTATCTATCTATCTATCTATCTATCTATCTATCTATCTATCTATCTATCTATCTATCTATCTATCTATCTATCTATCTATCTATCTATCTATCTATCTATCTATCTATCTATCTATCTATCTATCTATCTATCTATCTATCTATCTATCTATCTATCTATCTATCTATCTATCTATCTATCTATCTATCTATCTATCTATCTATCTATCTATCTATCTATCTATCTATCTATCTATCTATCTATCTATCTATCTATCTATCTATCTATCTATCTATCTATCTATCTATCTATCTATCTATCTATCTATCTATCTATCTATCTATCTATCTATCTATCTATCTATCTATCTATCTATCTATCTATCTATCTATCTATCTATCTATCTATCTATCTATCTATCTATCTATCTATCTATCTATCTTTTTATTTATTTATTTATCTATTTATCTATTTATTTATCTATCTGTCGGTTGTGAAATTAATAATGATAATGATTGTTTTATTTAAAAATTCTTACGAATATAGTATGTGGTAAGAACGTTTTGTATGTAGTCGTGTGTATCTATCTATCCATGCATCCATCCATTTTAATACATCATAAATGGAAGAAAGTCACTAGAATGATTTTTAGTAAGTTGAGGAATGACAATGTAGATTAATAGTCGGTAACAGTGAGAATACTAAATTTCGATGTTATTCGCGGTCGCGCAACATATGCCATATGAATGGAAGTGATCTATGTTTGATTTTCACGTTACAGTGTGAATTTTAGTGAATTTTGTAATCCAAGTAAATGCTTTTCTATAAAAGTAGAACTAAACTACTTGATTTATTATTCAGTAGATGAATTTACAAGGTTGATTTAAGAACGCCACAAAATAATTTTATAATCGATTAAATTGGTTGTTCTGAGCCATCATTTGCACAAACATTTAATTAGATTTGACAATCATAGTTGCGTAGAGAAATTACTCGAAAGTGAATGATTAATTTGAATAAGTAAATATGTTAACCATAAGATTTTCTTTAAAACTCACGAAATCTACAACACTATATTCGTCTAGATTTTCGACTAATTAATCTATTACCTAACTCAGTTTCTGCAATATTTATTACACAATAGACTACAATTCTTGCAGGTCACTTATATCTCGCTGAGAATTTTACAAATCAAAATGGGGAAATTCGAACGATTATTCATAAAATGTATTCGTATATTTCAGAATAACTGTAATCACTACATACTAAGCCTAACTCCCTTGATACTTTAAGACTACACTGCTTTACACCACAATAGAACACCTTGGTACCAGGGTAATAATAAACAATTATTTGTTACGATCGTACAAATTGTAATCGCCTATAAACATGACTAGTCATAAAATGCAATAGAAGAATTTACTGATTTAATGCTTGTCGTTCATCTAAAAGTTCACTTCAACATGTAGTAGGCGTTATTGTTGGCCATGACGATTTATGATGATAAATGAAACTGAGATATACGAAATTCTTCTCAGTTGAAGATTAATTTATCAGTTCTTCTTCTTCTGTTTGTTATTCATCTATCCAGAAAAGTATAAAAATCCCTAGATTCGTAACATTATTTCTTATTTCCACTTTATATACTTGAATGACAAATAAACTCATTCATAGATAAGTATATCTGAATTCGGATTATGTAAATCCTCGAATTTACTCGGGAAGTTGCGAAGCAGTCCACGAAGATGAGCACAAGTTCGGTAAATGTTTATACTGTGGCAAATCTAACTCACGTAACTCATGTGTATTTCGAAATGTTAAATGCTTTAAATGTGTTAAAATTTCACACATAAAAGTAGTTTGTAATACTACTATTCATTTCGCTACATGTAATGGTAAACTTTGTAATTCCGATCCCATTAGGTTGAGTGCTTTAAATGAATCATACTCAGCTCAGATTCATGATATTATTTTACAAATGTGTGGAAGGTATGTCGAGTGCACCAAATCCTGATCAAATCTCTGATGCTATTTTATCAAATGTTGTTTGTCCTAATGACTCATTTATTTCCAGTGAAATTTTAATTAAATGTGAGGAACAAGTTCAAAATGAGTTAAAATCTGATAACGGTCCTTATGGTGTCGCATCAGATGTTATTTGTCCCCACGATGCATTTATCTCTAGTGTTATTCCTAATGAACGTGACAAATATGTTCCGAATGAGTGGAATTCCAGTTAAATTTCTGAAGTCATTGTATCAGATGTTGGATAATATCATAATTTATGTGTGCCAGTCGTATGTATTTGATCAACAAGGCGGACCATATTCACTTGAATCATTGATGCCTAGAGCTGAAACCATAGATTTTCCAACATTCTGCACCACTGTCTCTGTGGCTGTTCAATGGTCATTTCATGATAATATGCGACTTCTGTAGTCTGTAAATATCTCGTATTCGGACGGAGAATCCCTCCTTTTAATAACTTTGATGGAGTCTTTCGTTACGGAATGTCATGAGTACCAGACAACTCAGACTTCTTGGAAAAACAGACAGCATTCCAACCTTCTCGTATAACACTGAGTGTACACCTCGAGTATGGACGAGTTTTCTCGGACCAGATGTGGATGGCTCAGTGGGAGAACTTTCACTAATAAACAGCTTGCTACATAAAACGGCTTATTTTGTAATGGATGTCGAGATGTGTAATCAACAGATTGAATTTGTTAAACACTGTCGTGCTCAATTGTATAGTCATAGGCACTCAGATCAATACTCCTTTTTGAACCATAGCGTCCGAGAGACTTGCCAAGGATTTTCGTGAATGAGTAATGAACTTAAAGGCACCATGATCTGTAACCATGGTGAATGTGTTCCTGAATAAATATTTGTGAAGTTGTGAAACAGCCCAAAACACAGCTAATGCGACTTGCTCAGTTAGTGAATAACTTAGTTCAGTAACAATACGTCTGCGTGAAATACAGTCTATTGTCTATATTCTAGCTCCAAAACTACACCAATACATAAAGGTGATGCATCTGTAGTAAGTACAGAATATACACTAGAAGAGTGAGTTCGAAAAACAGCATCACTACGAAGAAACTTGAATAAACGTCGTAAGCATCACTCTTGTTTCTTATACCATTGAAATGAACTGGATATCAAGATTTGTAATAGACAGTTGACATAACATGAGAAATTAAGAATAAAAATAAATAAAGTATTGAAGAGAACCAATTAGTAAATGTAGTTCTGTAAGTGTTTTCCGAGATAGTGCATTTATCAATGGAGCTGGTCGCTTCGTCTCTGGTGTAAGACCGTTACCGTCAACTAGGTATCCATGCATTCAAAACTACATACACAAAATGAACACTTATCAGGATTAACGGTAATATCATTTTCACTTAGATGGTGCAGTGCACTAGTAAGTCTCCGATCACCAGCCACTTTTTCAGAACCATGAATGATATGATCATCTTGATGAACATTCACACTCTTGAGATCACTTACTACATTACTCAACACTTCCTGAAATATGACTGGAACACAACTTAAACCAAATGAAAGTAATTTGTAATTGAATAGAGAAATTGTTAATTATTTTCAAAGCAAATGAAAATTGACCTGAGGGAATTTGAAGATAAACATCTTTCAGGTCAACTTTCGAGAATACTTTAGAACCATTAAGCCGATTAAGTACATACTTAGCTTCCACCATCGTGCATGTCTGTCTCAAAAAACTGGAGTTCATCGTTAATCGATAACTGCCACTAATTCTAGGGTGCTTCCATCGAAATTCAAAAGCGTAACATTAGGAGTACCCCATGCTAAAGAC